ACTTTGTGAATGAATTTCTAAAATTAAACCCTTGAGTTTCAAATGTGTAAGTGAATATAAGTTTTAAAAAAATAGATCGATATATTAAAACAACTTTTTTCATTTGTACAAATAAAAAAAAAATTTTATTAGGAAAAAAAATTTTTTTAATGAAAAAAATTTTTTTTTCTGTCAAAATTAATCTTTCTCCTTTCATTGAGAAAAGAAATTTTTTTATTCAGAAAAAATTTTTTTTTTCAAAATTAATATTTTGGAACATGTGTTCCTTCTGCTCAAGATTTTTCTGCAGCCAGCAGTGAATTTTCGCGGGAAAGAATACGAAGAGAGAAAGCAATTGTTATACTGGACAGTTGGTCGCGTGTCCCGGAAAGAAACAGGTTTGCCTGATACCAAGATTTGACATCGTTAATAAAGAAAAGCAATAACGAAGATAAATAAAATGTAGTTATTTTATGTATAATTTTTTTAAAAATTTATGTAAAGCAGTTTGTCACATCTGTAACATTTTGATTCTGAAACAATATTGTTCAAGTATCTATTACTAGTATTCATTTTCCTTGGAGTTCGTGGTTTTTGCTTCTGTAATTTTTATAATAAATACTTTTTTAAAAAAAAATACTTATCTACTATTTCTTTTCTTGTAATAATATATGAATAGGAGACTAAAATAAAAGATTTACTCTTAATATTAGAAAATAAAGAAAATTAATTTCTTAGAAAGAGCAATAAATTTTTTTTATTGTTATTGAATTTAAAAATTTATTTGTCTACAGAAAATACATTATAATTTAGGTTTTTAAAATAAAAAAAAAATTTTAAGTAAAATCAATTTTCAAGTAGTCGACAGTTTTTAATTTTTAAAAAATCTTCTCTCTTATGTCCAAATGACCCCGGTGTGTAGAATTTTTAATGCCAGAGAGATGTGGCAAATGAGGGTTACATTGTTACAGAAATGCAGGTAAATTTAATTTAAAAACTATATTTCTCAATTAAATAAGAGGAACTTTAGCTTCTACTACACTAACTTACACAGATTCCGCTGTAAATATTAATTATTAGTATATTTAGGGTGGCCACCTAAATTTGTGAATGAAATTCATGGCTTTTTCACGGTTATTTCCCTGTTTAAAAAAAAATTTTCAAGGATTTAGAAATTGAGATTTCATTACAAAATACAGACTTTTCAATTACTAAGTATTACAAAATAATCATTTTATTTTCATTTGTCAAAACTTTTATTTATTATAATTTTAATAAGCACTGTATTTAATTTATAGAAAGAATTTAAATTACAATTGACTACAATGACTTCATTGACTTCAATGAATTTCATATTTAGTCGATCTTAGTTTTAATGTATTCAAAATTTAATCGATTTACTTACCCTTTAATCCAAACTTTTATTTGATTCCACTTTTCATTACATTTTATTAGTGAACATTCAAATTTTAATTGTTTCTTCTACACTTCATTTATCGCCTAATTCAATTTTCGATTTTTAAGATTTCCTTTTTTTCGATAATCAGTTAAAAAATTCGTTTTTATAAATTCTTAGTCAAGTAATTGTCATTTTTTAAAGAACGTTTTACTTCAAGGTAGACTGAGGTTTCGAAGTGACAAACTTTTTTACTTTTTTTTATACTTTTTTCGACAGGGCTACTTTTTAACTACTAATTTCGGCAAAAGCTAGTAAATGCTACTTTTTCAAAAAAGTAATTTTAAAAAAATGACAGAATTTTAGTTTTTAGCGACTTTTTTGATTCCTAAAAGCTGGACTAGTTCGAGAATTTTTTCTTACAATTCTTTCAGAATTGAACTGATACAAATTTTTAAGAATTCAATTTTGCATTGGACAAAATAAAACAAAAAAATTCAAATGACTTTTTATAAAAAAATTTTCAAAGTCTGATTTAAGCAAATTATTCGAATTCAGCAGTTTAGTGAATGTTTTAAATAATTAAATTTTCAAAGAATTTAATTGAAATATTATTGAAAAAAATTAATTTTGTACAATGTTTAGAAGTAATTGAACATTTTTGCAAATTTTTAATTATAATTGTTGTAAATTTGAATTGCTGAAAATTATTCAAATAATTTCAAATAGTAATTGATTTTTAGAGAATTTTTGATTAAAAAATATTGCAAATAATTCAATTTTAAAAAAATTGGATTCAAATTATTGAAATAATTAATATAGCAAAGAATTTTAATGAAGACACAAATTTTAGAAATAATTAAAATTTTAGATGTCGTGCAATAGAAGTTTTAATAAATTTCAATTAATGAAGACTTTTTAAGAAGTTCAGATAATAATTGAATTTTAAAGAATTTCAATTGAAAAATGTTTTAAAAATTGAATTTATGAAGATTTTTGAAATTACACATCCCCACAAAAAAAAAAGGGTCATGTACTTTTGACCGGAATACCCTAACCCTATGTATTTTGACGCGCTGAACACGAATCCGAAGTCCGTTTTGCTCCATCACGTCAGGATTTTTTTCTAACCTCAAAAAACATGTCGGATTTTGAGAAGTAGGCGATTTTTTTAAAAATTGCTGTATTAATTTCAAACTTGGTATCTGGGGGTTTTTTGTGTCGCTGATTACGAATCTGAAGTTAGATTTTCAAAATCCAAAATGGCGGATCCAATATGGAGGACGAATTTTGAAAAAATTTTAAGATTTACTTCAAACTTGGTATCTGGGGGTTTTTTGGGTCGCTGATTACGAATATGATGTCAGATTTGAAAAATTCAAAATGGCATATCCAACATGGACTTCTATCGGAAATATTAGATACGCCATTATCTGTATCTGGGGGTTTTTTGGGTCGCTGATTACGAATATGATGTCAGTTTTCAAAAATTCAAAATGGCATATCCAACATGGACTTCTATCGGCCATACTAGATACGCCATTATCAATTTTTGAAAACTGACATTATATTCGTAATCAGCGACTCAAAAAACCCCCAGATACACTATTGCACATTAATTTTTAAAAAATTTCGTAAAATAATGTCCCCCTACCAAAAAAAAATTCAAGGGGTAGTTCCCCCCATAAATCAGCTTTTGGGGAAAAACAAAACATACGTGTCAAATTGTTTTTAAAAAACTACAAAACTGCCAAGTTTCAGAAAAATCGTCGTATGGCACTTCCCTAGTGTTACTTGTCAGCAACTTAGAAAACCTGTAGATACCAAATTTCATAATAATCTGACAATTTTTTAAAAATAATTTCTTAATATTGAATCAGACATGTCGAATTTCGGAAATCTGACATCAGATTCGTAATCAGCGACCCAAAAAACCCCTTGATACCAAGTTTGAAGTAAATCTTAAAATTTTTTCAAAATTCGTCCGCCATATTGGATCCGCCATTTTGGATTTTGAAAATCTAACTTCAGATTCGTAATCAGCGACACAAAAAACCCCCAGATACCAAGTTTGAAATTAATACAGCAATTTTTAAAAAAATCGCCTACTTCTCAAAATCCGACATGTTTTTTGAGGTTAGAAAAAAATCCTGACGTGATGGAGCAAAACGGACTTCGGATTTGTGTTCAGCGCGTCAAAATACATAGGGTTAGGGTATTCCGGTCAAAAGTACATGACACTTTTTTTTTTTTGTGGGGCTGTGTTATTAATTAAATTTTTTGTACATTTAAATTGCTGAAGATATTTTATAAAATTCAAACAATAATTGAATTTTAGAGTATTTTGAATTGAAAAATGTTTTAAATAATTGAAATGCCAAGATATTGACTAAAATTAGAATTGCTGAAAATTATTAACAAAATTTCAAACGGTAATTGAATTTTAGAGAAATTTTAATTAAAAATTGTTTTATGTAATTGGATTTTTGGATAATTGCATAAAATTGATTGAAATTATTAATTTAGCAAAGAATTTTAGACACAAATTTTAGAAATAATTCAATTTTGGAAGAGTTTGAGATAAGATTTTTAGAAATGTGTAATTGAATTTTTGGAGGTTTTCACTTAAAATTGTTGTTTTAAAATGCTAAATATTTTATATAAGATTCCGTTTACAGGTTGTAGGATTTAAACATTCGGATTACTTAAAATTTTAGTGAATGAGAATTCTAATAAATTAAAAATTTGTTAAATTAAAATTTTTTTAAAGAAACAGTTGGGTAAAAAAAGTTTTGTAAAATAAAAATTCGGTACTTTGAAAATTCCGTTGAGTAAACATTCGTTTACAAACAAAATTCTGTGTTAAATGCTATTTTGTGAAATAAAAATTTATGTGAAATATAATTTTCATGGAATAATGATGTGCTCTTACCTCTGAACCAAAAAAAAGACAAAAGAAAAAGTTAACGGAAATTTAACAATTGATAGTTTTTTAAAAATTATCAGGAGAAAAATGATGTTGATTTTATTCCTCAGAATTTTTCTTTAAATTTTTTTAGACAAGAAAATATTTACAATTTAACGTCAAATTTAAAAAACTAATTTTAGGTAATTTTAAAGATGACCCTTTTTTTAATCTTTTTTTCAATTTTGGGGATACTTTTCTTTAAATGATACTTTTTCATACTTTTTTTGTCTCTAACTAAGCCTGTAGACTTCAAATTTGGCACATTTCGTCATCTTTAAATTTTAAACAAATTACATTGTCAATTTTGAAAAGTAAGATTTTCAAAAAATTCATGGTTGCATTAAAGAAATAAAGACGCAATCGCGGTACTTTCCAGGCATAACTAAATTCACGTTGTTGTTCCTGTTTTCTAGTTCAAGACAAGTAGGCAAAGATTTAATTGACTTTTGTAATAAATACATTTTCTTTTAACGCAAATGTAATTACCATGGACACAAGAAGTAACACAAGATTTCTACTGAAGAAAAAAAATTTACTTTCTATTTCAGTACATTTTACTATATTTAGTGATATAAACTTAAGTTAAGTTTTTAAACTGTTATATATAAATATATAAATATATATATAATTACAACAGAACACAACGACGTACTATATATCTCTTTCTTAAAACATACAAACATATTGAATATATGAAAGTAAATGAAGAAAACACGTATAAAAATTCGCCTACTACTTTCTGAGTTACAGAATCACCATTACAGTAGCAAGTGTGGAAATAAAAAAAATGAACACAAGAAAATAGCGGGTATATTCGAAAATAAGAAAGTTACAGATCAAAATGTGCAAAAGGATATTTCCTGAGTAGGAGACATCGTCCGTGATGAAATGCACTGACGGTGGTTGAAAGTAAGAAATTAAAGAAATGATCAGAGGGAAATATGTTTTACACTTATTGACGTTTACTTATAATGTCCAAGGCAGCGATGAACAACTCATCTTGCTTTTCATCACTCAATAAATCCCACTTATGGATAAATAAATTAAAAAGAGGATCGGCTCTAACTTCAGACTTTTCTCTCTCTTTCTCCCTATCCCTATGCAACTGATTTTGCAAAACTTGCTGTTGCACAGACATGCACTTTGTAAAGACTGTTGTGATTTGATGTAAATCACTTTGTGATTTTAATAAAGTTTTATTTATTCTGGACATTTCGTTTTGCTTTTTCTTTTGTCTCGCAAAACGATCAATTGGTGGAGTAACCTTCGTTTTTTTAGTTAGATCACTTTTAGGAATATCAGCTACTCTCATTTGTCTCCCTAATATAGTAGTAGGATTAAAATGTTTTTTATTTTGATATTTAGCATTTGAAGGTTGGGCATGTATTGTTGAAGATATCTGACGTGAAGAATGCGCCGATAACAGTTCCGCTGATTCCTCAAATATAAAGTCGGCCACTTCGTCGGAATCATGAAAGCGATTCGAAACAGGATTCAGAGTAGCAGGTGGTGGTGGAGGAGAGAATAATCGAAATTGCGATGTAGGCAAAGAGAATGGCACATCATGTTTCGAAGTTATGGGAATTGATGAGGATTGTAAATCAGCAAAAGGAAAATGGATTGGAGAAGCCGAAGACTTTGATGAAAATGTCATTGCAGATTTTGGAATAGTAGTCATTGTCGAAGATTTTACCCCAGATGATTTAAATGTAGCGACTGGCGAACGTATAGGAGAAGCTGACGATGCTGGTGATAATGGCACATAAGGTTCTGTAGTAGTAGAACTTGGAGAACTTTTTACTCCTGGTGATTGCAATTTAGCGAGTGTCAAACGTATAGAAGACGCCGGCAATGATGATGATAATGGCACATTAGGTTGTACAGTAGTAGAAGATTTTACCCCTGCTAATTGCAATTCTGCAAATGGAGAAGGTATTGGAAAAAATGACGATGTTGGTGAAAATGGCACAGTAGGTTTTGGAATACCAGAAAGTGTAGAGGATTTGACTCCTGATGCTTCCAAGTCTGTTACGGGAAAACGGATTGGAGAAAATGACGATGTTAGTGAAAATGGCACAGAAGGTTTCGAAATATCAGTAATTGTTGGAGACTTAACCCTTGGTGACTGCAATTTTGTGTATGGCGAACACATTGGGGAAAACGCGGATGTTATTGAAAGTGGTACAGTAGGTTTGGAAATGACACAATTTGTTGAAGATTGTTCCCCTGAAGGTTGCAATTCAGCAGTTGGAGATGGAGCCTCATGTAATGATAAAAATTCAGAAGGATGTACTTTTGGTGGAAAAATTGATGTTTGTACAGAGGTTATGGGAGACATTTTAAATTTTTTTGGTATCTGTTTAGACGACTCCACTTCAGAGAGCATTTGTGACGTTGGTTGTTCCTCGGGAAACGATTTGAAATTGTGAGACAAATAATCAGAAGTATTTGACGTTTCTTTCATATTTTCTTTATGCGATGAAATAGAATCATTTGATTTACAGCTATCGTCCACTGCAATAAGTTCGCCATCATACTGAAGTACGTCATATTCGGAGTACGATTCCATTTTTATGTCCTCATCATTTTCGAGGAAATTATTGTCTTCAACATACTCTACGTCACAAGCTATAGCGGATTTTCCCACATTCTCATAAGAATCTAATGACATCTGTTGAGATGCTTCTGACGATTTTGCGACATTCTGTAGGCCACATAACTTTGGAGATTCATCTGAACTGTCATAAAACTGTGATGTCTGATGCCATGAAACATTTGGTGCCTGAGGCAAATTAAAATCTGTAAGAAAAGTGTAGGTATATATGTCGGTTATAAAATGAATTAATTTTCATTAAATATGCCTCGGATAGATTGTATTAGGGTTCAAAGAAATTGGTTTTTTAATTCTTAACAAAGTTTAGTAACAAATTTTATTTTATGAATTTCAACTATTAGTATTAAGGATTCAATAAATAAACCAATCCGACATACTTCTTAAAATAAAATTGAGTAGACAAACGTCGTATTTTATTAAAGAAGTCGAAACATCTTTGAAAACTTTTAAGCTCGAGGCCTCATTTTCAGGGTGTCTAGTAATTTAACCGTGTAAAATTCCCGGGGTTTTCCCGGTTTTTCCCCCGGTTTCAAATAATTTTCCCGGAAATTTTTTTTAACCAAAACAGTATATTTTAAAGTGGTATATCCACTTTTACGGTTTTTTTAAAACTAGATAGTTTTTTTAAACTACATAAAAACCATTAAAAACATATAAATAAAATTATTTATTATATAATTTGTAACGTTTGTAATTGTGAGAATCAATATTATTAGCTCGCCGAGCCAGGGTTCGTTTTGATTCCAAAAAAAAATAAACAATAATAACGGTTAATTACAAACTGATCACAAATTATTTATTTACAACGGTATTTACAATATCAATGATATACGGAGATTACAGGTAAATCGCGAAAGTCGGTTTCGAGTAACGATTTTTCGGCATCTATCAAATTAAATGTTGAGCCGCGGAAATTGAAAATCGGCATCAATCGGGAACGTCGTATATTTGAGCCGCGCATTAACAAAATCGGCTTCAACTCGCTATGATGAGCCATAAATCAGTTACTTTACTGTCTAAAAATTCGCGATACACCGGTGAACCACGAGTAAAACTCGTGTTCCAATTATACCAAGAGTAACACTCTAAGTATATCTAAGAAACGGAGATTAAAACGGTAATCAAACAAAGAATCTACTTTAAACATTCGAGAATTCAAATTTACGTTACTATACATTTCGTTGTGTTACTTTACTATACATTTCGTTACATTACTTTACAGGTTGATACGTTACATTAAAATTCTTTACTATACACTACTTTAAATCGCGATACATCATTTCACGGTTCGTTACTATACACTATATACATTTAAAAACCGATATAATGTTCGACAGGTAAAACCCGACGAACGAGAGTAAAACTCTCCACAAAGAATTTCGGAGTAAAACTCCTAGTCAGGTGGGTAAGACCCACCCGGACTCCGTGTAACACGAGAGTGACGGTCCTCACCGAGAGCGCAGCTTATATAGCCGCTCGGTAGGCTGGGCGCACGCGAGTGAGCTTTGGCCATGCGGCCCGCGCGGCGAAATAGGGTACTACGTCTTTGAGCTCCGCGGTCGGTAACTTGTTTATCGACGCGCGATAATATTTAGTACAAATATTTACCGGACGATTTCTAACTATCATTACAAATTAAACATTTTTTCAGTAAATTACGATATACATATATGTGTGTGTGAAAAATGAAATTAAAGATTTCAGTACAAATATCTCGGTTATTTCTAACAAGTTATTCAGGTTATAATTTTTTTAAGTAAAAAACATCTCTCTGATGATAAACCAATAGGTTTAAAATTTTGTTACCTGTCTGATGACAAACCAATAAGTTTAAAATTTTCTATTACTTCCGTTTTTGAAAATTACGATAAACCGACAAAGAAGGACCTTCTCTCTTCTTTAAAATAATGAAATAAAATACTTAAATTAACAAAAAAATGTGTCAGGTCACCTATTTCATAGGTATTTTAAAATACAATCATTATTGTATTTTTTATATTATCTTTTACTATATTTCTTGTAAATATTATATTTTACTTAAATTTCTTATTCTAAATTTATATTATTTATATTTAGTAAAATAATAATACAAATTTATTTATTTTAACATAAAAAAATTTTCTTTAAAAAAAATTCCCGGATCTGACAAAAAATTCCCGGGGTTTTCCCGGATTCCCGGATCGCTAGACACCCTGATTTAAAAAAAAATTACACACCTACTACTGATAGCTGTGGATGAAGTACGGTCTTTGGTCTTTTTACTCTGCTATGCTCCGCCGTGAACAGCATATCCTCGTATAAGTACCATCCTGTATTCGAATTTTTATGGTGTCCATTAAACGATACTTTTAATTGCTTCCACCGATTTTGAGGATCTATAAGTTAAATGAAATTTTTTTTATTAATTATTTCATTTCATGAGTAACTGTCAGGCATCATAGGTAGTCATCTTTTCACATTGTCATCTATTTACATAATTTTGATTACTTTTCTCTTTTACCTACGTTAATGTTATCTGATTTATTTCTTTGTCATCGAAACTGCAGAATTTTCATGTAAATAATTTAAAATATGCTCTTATTATTTGGAGTTATTAAAATTAAAATTTATAAATTCTTAATTTGATAAGAATTGCAAAACCTAATAAGATGACAAAACAGGGTGTCTAATTGAGGACCAGTGATGCCTATATACATAAATTTTGTTGAAAAATACAAATGTAGTAACTTAACCCCTGGTTGGAAATTCATGCGCATGAACATTTCCATGAACATGTGCCATGTACCTGACCACACTCAGTGTCTACCGCGTGTTCATGTGCATGGTTTTGGACCATGTCACATGCACATGATCAGGTACATATGTACATACTTCAAAAGTCTTTTACTCATGAACACGTAAATGATCATCAGCATGAACATTTACATGTTCATATGTATGCAAAATTGAATTTTGACATTTACATGAACATGCACATGTTCATGTAGATTCAATTCATGAATTTATTATTTACGTTGGCTCATACTTGTCATTGCGCCTTTGTATATTTAGCCTTCTAAAATTCTATTATTTCTAAAAAAAATCTTAATTTCAGCTTTTTCAAAATTTAATTATTAAAAAAGTTTGTCATTTAAAAATTCTCTAAAATTCAATTATTGTGAAAAATTCAAAAATAATCTTTAGCAGTTAAAATTTACAAAAATGACATCTTCAATTCTACTGAAACTCAATTATATAAAAAATATTGCAATTTATTTAAATTTGGAATAACTGAATTTTAAATTCATTAAAATTTAAATTACTTGAATTTTTATAGTTTAAAATTTTGATCAATTAAATTTAGATTATGGATTACAATTTCTATACATAATTGAATGTTTTCGTCATTAAAAATTGAAATTTATTCACATTTGGAAAAACAAAATTTTTATTTAATTGATATTCGGAATAATTTAATTTCAAATTGGTTAACATTTGGAATAATTGAATTTTTATTTAGGTACTTAATTTTCGGAATAATTGAATTATTAACTGCGATTAAAATTTAGAATAATTTACACAGTTGATACCAAAATTTTAGTTTCTTTTTCCTTACTTTTCCCTCAATTCGAGACGGAATTTTATCTTTTTCTCTAACTTAAATGCAAAAGTTTCAAGAGGTTTTTAATTATAAAAAAATTAAAAGAGAATTTTTAAAAGTTAAAATTTGAATAAAAGTTTTCAAAAAACAAAAATTTTGTAACATAGGTATTTCTATAAATATTATATTTTCCCAGTAGTTTTGACACAATTCTCTGACTCTCCCCTGACATTTCCCTGATTTTCTTGATCCGCGGAAACCCTGTTAAATCTTTCTTAATTAAAATAGAAGTATTGTTTGATGTTTTTGTTAACTTTATCATTTTAAGTATTTATTAAAAACAACAAACCACTTGAAAATAAACATTTAAAAAATTGCATATAAAAATTTGATTTAAATAAAAAAAATTCGATTTTCTTGATTTTTTAAAAAATATCATGATTTTTTAACAGCCCTGCTTTGCTTACATATGAACAAATGTACCTGAATAAGTACCTGATCATGTGCATGGCCATGTTTACGGTTACAGTATATGACATAACCTCACAACAAAGCCTGTAATATTACTGCCAAACTTTTGTAATTCTTGTGTAATTCGAGCCCACGTAGCTGCTACAAATCCCGGTGGGGAAACACTTTTAACATAATCAATATATAAGCAAGGATTTGCAAAAACCATCTTCACCAACAATCTATCGTTCTGTTCTTTGATTAATTTCTCTCTACTTTTAGGCATGATAATAGTCAGAAATATAGAAAAACATGCAATAAAAAAACCGGCCGGCCGTCACCTAGCGTGTTTTGACTTGTTTTCTTTCTTCAGTGAACGAAATAGAAATGCACTTGTGTTCGTGCGTATGTAGTAATGTGCTGACCTGCGCAATGCATTGGAGGTTTGTCTTACTTGGGTGGAAAGGTTAGGCGCGAAAATTGAAATTCAGTTGTGGGAAACGAACAATATAGGATGCATGTATGACCGAAGTAGCGCGCGCTTATTTAAAATATAATGTCCATTATAAAAAGAGACATTCCTAAAAAAAGGGTGAAATTTATATTGAATATATAACAAAAAAAATATCGCAATAAAAGATGAGTATTTAAAATATCAAATCTCAATAAAGGGGCGAAACATTGACAATATTTAAATTGTAATCGAAAGTAAATTAATTACTACACTACTATTTTGTTTCCTAAATGAATTTAATTAATTATAAAACGATAATTATCAACTAAATTAATAATTTAAATATAAATATAAAATTAAATTATTTTAATTAACATGAATTTAAAACTTGGATACTTTTTGCTGATTTTTCTATTAAAAATAGAAAAAGCAATTTTCATTTACTATGAATATAGAAAGTAAAATAAATAAATTATAAAATCGTTCAAATTAACAGAAAGCAATTCAATTTAAAACAATTTTTAAATATAAGGAAATTAAAAAGGTTTTTTTTTTATTTTTATTTATAAAAAAATATGAATATTTAAAATTGAATTTTATTTAAGAAATAATCATTTCTTAAAAAAGACTGGGAGAAAAGATCAAATGTAAAATATTGTTCAGGTTGGAAATTAAATTAAAAAATGAATTAATAGTTTTATGAATAGAAAATTAATTTGTATCTATTGAAATTTTCTTAAATTTAATTTTGTATCATTTCAGATTTGGATTTATTAAATTGAAATTTCAATCATTTTCATCACTAAAAATGAGGAATAATAAAAATTTTTGTTAATTGGAATTTGGATAAATTGAATAAAAATTTAATAACTTGAAGTTTTGGGATGATTAAATTTAAGGTTGATAAAAATAAGAAAAATTGGAAATTTATACCTTTTAAAATTTTAATTAATTAAATGTGATCCCTGTTTCAATGAATTGAAAATGAAAAGTGGATGAAAATTTCCATAAAATAAAATTTGTATCGTTAAAATTTGGATACATTTGAAATTAAGTCAATTAAAATTAGGATAAACTGAAAATTAAGTCAATAAACATTTGGATGAATTAAAAGTTGATTCGATTTAAATTTGATAAATTGAAAATTAAGTCAATTAAAATTTGGATGTATTAATAAGAATTTAGAGAACAAACGAAAAGTAAATTATTAATCACAATTCAAATAAAAAATATAAAGCACAGTGAATCGGACATAAGGAAGCAAAGGAGACAGCCGCTTGCGGCCGTCGACTGCGCTAGTGATTATAAATAATGCTATTTAACAATAGTGTGATGTATATTAATAAAGCGCACATGATAAGGGTACTACATACGAAAAAATTCAGCCAAATTGGTTGTTCTATCGTTTTGCCAATTGATTCAGAAGAAGCCTTCTATAAAAAGAAAAGTATTCTCGAGTTTTCAACCGAAAAGTTTGAAATTAATTTCGAGAGTCTAATTTACATACCGTTCCGAGATAAATCTTTACCTGGCAATGACGATTATATTATAATCTTTAAAGCTAAAAATACAAAAGCAGTTTTTAAAAATCGATTTGTTGATAGTTCCAGCTTTGAAATAACTGCTGATGAAAAAACTGAACGAAATGAGACTGAATCTCTTTCACTATCTGAAAATAGTGATTGAAAAACTACGGAAGATGAAAATTCAAAACCGAATCCAGAAAAAGTTACCTCAGTTTCATCATTCTCGTCTTCAACTTCTAACATTCTAATTAAAATCCGGAAAAAATTTATCTGAAACAGAGGACGAAGAAAATAAAAATGTTAAACCAGAAAAATATCAATCTTTATCAAACTCTCCGGTAGATGATTGGAAAACGAATACAAGTAGTGAAGAAGAAAATATAATCGAAAAAAGTGTTGAATCTAATGATGATTCTAATATCGAAGCAACTGAAAATGAACAGTTAAGGCAAGTGACTGAAAATAAGTCCAATGTTAAAATAATTGTAGAACAAAAAGCAGATCATAAATCGCTCTCCCCGTCTACGTCTGTAAGTTGTTTCGTTATTATTTCAGAATCCAGGAACGATGATTTTAATGCAGAGAAAAATATAAATAAAGACTCCGAAGAAGATGTTATTGAAAAAAATCGCAAAGAAGAAGCAAAAGAAAAAGCTAATAAAAATTGCCGAGCAACTACTGTTACCATGGAAAATTTCGATAATAATGGTGAAATTAATTCCTGACAGTCGTTCCTAGTAAAAAACATTGAATATCTTAAGAATCAAATCTCAAAAAAATTGTAATCACTATATGAAACTTTTATATAATTTTCTAATAAATCTTTATAAATAATTTGTTTTTTATATTATTATTATTACTATTATTACAAATGGTAATTTTTTTTTCTGAAAGTAGACCGCAATGATTTTGGGCGAAAAACACTAAAAGGACACTGTAACTGTAACAAAAATATTTTTTTTTAGTATTTCAGAAATTTCTTTGCATCTTATGAGAAGTAAACAAAAGTAAACAAAAACAAAACCTCAGAAAGACAGTCAAAAATTGTGTACAAGTTGTATCTAAGAAAACAAAAAAGAAAGAATATTTTTTTCCAGTTATCAAGGAAATATGTTTGTACAAACTAAAAGTATATTTTTCACTGGTTCTCTGAGGGTATTTCTACCGGGTTTTCACCTCAGAAAGGCAGACAAAAATTGTGAACAAGTTGTATCTAAGAATAGTAGAAAGCAAGAATATTTTCTTCTAGTTATCATAGAAATATGTTTGTACAAACTAAAAGTATATTTTTCACTGGTTCTCTGAGGGTACTTTTACCGGGTTTTCACCTCAGAAAGACAGACAAAAATTGTGTCCAAGCTACAT